TCCGTTCATCTATCCGTCCGTCCGTCCGTCCGCCCGTCAGACCGTCCTCTTATACCTACTCATTCGTCGTGTAGTCATTTGTTGTCTACGCCCGGGTCGCTGCTGCGATTGTGGCTCCGACTGTGGCACGATGCTCACCTCTGCTGAGCGCGCTAAGCCCGTGCCGATTTTGCTTTGATCTTTGCCGACACTTGGCGGCAAGTTGCAAAGACGTTTATATGTATGTATGTAATTATATGTGTGTGTTTGTGTGTGTATGAACGAATGAGTGAGTGGACGACTAACCGGCGTAGCGACAGAACCAATGAGAGTTCGACCAAATGTCTGTCTGACCGACTGCTTCTGCTTCTTCGTATTTTTCGTCTTTTCCGTCTGCTCCATCTCACTTGAGTTGACTTTAATTTGTATTTTCTTGGCTGGTATATACAGGTGGTGTATGTATGTTTGTCTGTTTGTTTATATGTATGTAGTAAGGGTCGTCCAAAACAATCCACTCCGAACCGATGCGATCCGATTGAACTAGTCTCGGTTCACCTTTTGTTGTTTTCCGTTTGTTGGCTTTCTGGGTTGGTTCTGGCTAAAGTGTTTGGTTTGACTCAGCTTTGCTTGGCTTGACTTTAGTTATGGACTGTTTGTTATTATTGTTGCGCTTGTACTTGACATGCTGCTTATTGTTGTTGTCGTTGTTGTACTGGAAACTATGTTGTTGCTACTATTGAATGCTCCTCCGGCCAACTCTGTCTGGGCCTACATGCGATGGGTTATTTAGTCCAAATAGTCTCACAAGAGGCGGCGGCGTTACGCATTGATCTTAACTTTGAAAACAGTAGCAACTGCTGTGACGAGGACGATGGGTATGACGATGAGAACGGTGGTTGATGATGAAGGTGCAATGTGGTTTCAAAATGACGTGATCGGTATTAAAATTGTGGCAGTAGAAAATGTCATCGCTCGTGATTGTTATGATCTTCAATCTCGCAACGAACACAATCTATTAGGCGGATCAGAATTCCAACTGTCGCAAACACTGCATTGCCCCCACAGAAGGCGATGAATGGATGAGCCTACAGCTTATACTTAGCCGCCTCCGAACGGCCAATCGACTTTAAGGATAATTTTTTACTTAATTTCACAAATATACTCAGAGGGCTTGACATTCCCTGCCGAGGGGTGACAGAAATTAGGAAAAATAAATTTAAATATGAGATAATATTCTATAATCTTGAATGTTGATCGGGAAACGCAAACCACTCGTCTGTTGGGGTCGCCAGAGTTTCAAGCGTTTGCTTTTCAAAACTTTCCTATCTCTCTAGTTATGAATCCTTGTTTCAGGACTTCGAGTGGTCCAGAAACTTTTCAATAGTGAGATTCCAACTTCAATGTGCGTGGTGTTCCAGGAGTTAGTAAGCTGCGACGATTCGGCTGCTAATATGTAGCTTGGACGATACCTAGCGAATTTTCACTACTCTGCCCCTCATGTGACGAATGGTAAAACGACGATTTGTCGAGATGAATTTTCAGGAAGGAATAGACTGAATAGCGACCTGGTTCTACAGTCAAAGTTCTGCCCTCAAATATAAGCTGAAAGCTTCCAAATTGAGCTCATGCCGGTCTTAAAAGAAGCAGCGAATTGCCGAGATCCAGAAGAAATTTTTTTTTGAATAAGTAAAAGAGCTGAGATCCTCCGAAGTTTAGCAAATAGCGCAATGTTGACTAATCATTTCTTTAACTGCCTTACTGTGCGTGCTTCCAACAGGCATTTTCGAACAAAGAATTTGTGCCGACTGCAATCGGGGCCGAACCATTATGAACCAGGCTTTTAAATATGAGGCACATAATGGACAAACAGACACATAGACATACAGACACCAGGCTACAAACGAATAAACGGCAGATAAATAAGAATGTGTGTATGTATGTATGCATCATATTGAAACGCACGCGGCGAATGTTACATTTTATGATCGCGCCGCTACGAATGCCACATGCGGCTCCTGCTGCCGCCGTCGTCGCCATCACCGCAACCCACTCGCTGGCTTTTGGCGTGCGCTTTGTATGAAATTGATGAGGGACCTGGCTATTTTCGAACAGCATTGCAATATTTATGTCTGAAATGTTTTTGTTATTGTTTTCATTTAACTGCTTTTTCGACTATAATTTTGTTGTTGCTTGTTTTTTTTTATTAGTTTTTTGTGTATTTTTCGGTAAAGGTGGCGGCATTGCTATGCTCAAAGAGCTAGTAGTGAGCATGCGCGCGTGCGCATTCGGTCAAACTTGCTTCCCACTGTAGGTGTGTGTGTGTGTGTGCGCGCGTGTGTGTGCGCGCGTGTGTGCAACTACCTCGCTTTGGCCCAAAAGCTGCCGCCGCGTGGCCGCATCATTTGAATTTAATCGTATTTTATTGTGAAGTTGCACGTAAATGGAAGCCGCGCGCACGAGCAGACGATGAAAGAAAGAAAGAGAGAAAGAATTGTTTTTCAACAGAAAAATACAGCCAGCCTTTGGAAGCATACATACATATGTATGTATGTACGAGTGCTATTGCTTTATTGATATGGTAATTTTTGTTGGCCACTTGGCTTGTCGTCTGCCGTCTTGTGCGCGGCAAGCACTAAAACTTTGTTGCGCCGCTTTCAAAGGCAAAGGCGGTAAATTTATTAATTTGACAAGTCAACAGCGGGTGTCAGAGATCAAACGCTGCCGTGCGCATACAAGCGCGCTTATATATACATAGATAGATACATCGTTCAGCTACTGTTCACGCGCTATTCTTTTCTGCGAGTGAAAATGTGTGTGTGTGTTGGTATGTGCGTGCTCACATTTTGGGTGCGCTCAAGTGATTTATGTCTCATGAGATTCGGTGAGGTCTCACGGAGGCATAGCCACCAGTAGCCGGCAGATTTGCATTAGTTTGGAATTTAATTTCGGCGCTGATTAGAATGTTTGCCTGAATGGTATAGTTGTAGTGATTTCTGCGCTCTTAGATATTGATGGAAATTCTCTAATTTATGGCAACAATTAGGCGACCCAAGTAAGACATCGGAAAGAAGTAAGAAAACTGAGATTTTTTTTGCAACTCTCAAACGTTGTTCAAGAGTAAAGAAACTGGCATTTCTTATTTTTATTTTATAAAATTATAACTTACAACTATTTTATATAGTTTTCTCTAACTCCGAACTTTTACAGTTATAGTGCGCTAGTACATCTTTCTTCGGCTTACTTTGGGTTCATCTCAAATCATTAGCGGTTACTTGAGTTGGAAAATATTACTTGATTTCAAAGCAAAAAAGGCCTAAGATGGATTTAGTCAGAAGTGGATTTAGTGAAGTCATAAATCTAGATCCAGTGTAAGAGTACACCTTGGCGTGTAAGCAGAATATTGAAAAATTTAATACAATATTTGTTTCAGAAATAAAAACATATTTTGACCAGCATACATATGTTTAAACTATTTTAAATTTATTGGCTTTTTTATTTTGTGTCCTTCTATTGTATGTTGTAACTGAATTAAATTTAAATTTAACTTAACATAAATTAATTACGTATTTTATTTGTTTATTTTTATTTTAATTTAATTAATTTTTTTATTTAAATTAAGTTTATGGTATTTTGTTTTTTTTTATTTTATTTGATATTATTTTTTTTAGTTGTAATTTATTTTATTTTTCTATTTCTTTTATTTTCATTTCATTATATCGATTTTGTTTGCTTTTATTACGTTTACTTTATTTTTATTTTGTTTCATAAATTATTATTTTATTTATATATATATTAATTTTTTACTTTATTTCATTCTATTTTACTTTATGTTGGTATCTATTAATTTATTTTGTTTTTAATTTTGTTTTTAATTTTGTTTTATTTTAACACTTCTTATTTAATTTTGTTGAACTAAACTTTTTATTATTTTAAAATATATTATATAACTTTATTATATAATACTAAAATTAGTTTTATAATATTTAAACAATTTTATTATACTTCATATTATTTTATTTTGATTCGTTTTATTTTATATGAATACTATTTTATTTTCTTTTATTTCGTTTTATTATTTTAAATTTTATTCTATTTTATTTTATTATTTCATAGATTAGTTTCTTTTATTTCGTTTCACTATATATTATTTTATTTTATTTTATTTATGTGTTATATTTTTATTCAAATTTTTATTTATTTTCCTTTATATCGTTTTATTGGAATGCAAATTTTTATTTTATTCTTTATTATTATTTTGCTTGTTTTCTTTTCCTTCGTTTTATTAGATTGTATTTTATATTAATTTTTTCTCCTTTTTTTTCGTTTCATTTGATATGATTTTACCTTATTTCAATTTAATTTATATTATTTTGCTATCTTTTCAAAGTTTACTTAATTCTATTCTATTTAATTTTAATTCGTTTTACGTTATTTTATTTCATTTATAGTAATAACAATAATTGTTGTATTACATTTGTTTGACTTTATTATATTTGAAAATTTTTGTGTTATTTCATTTATTATTTTACTGAGTTATATTTATTTTTTTTTAGTTATTTTATCATTTCTTTAATTTTTTTCATTTTGGCTTAACGTATTTTAATTTATTTTCCTATTTTAGTTTATTTTTCTTTATGCTTCGTTATTTTATTTTATTTTACTTTGCATTGTTTTATTTGATTTTATTTCTTGTTAATTTTTAGTTTTTTACTTTATTTCATTCCATTTCTTTTATTTTTTACGGTATTTTATTTTATTTAGCTTGATTGTTTAATACTTTTGGCTTTAATTTTATTAAATATTATATTATTAAACTTTTTTATTTAATGATTTTATTGAATTTTGCATATTTTCTGTTTTATATTATTTTTATTTTTTTACTCCATTTTGATTTTTTCGTTTGCTTTCTTTTTTCGTTTTTACATTTTTATTTGCTTCAATTTATTCATTATATTTTTTCATATTTTATTTTATATATGAATTTAAATTTTTATTATTTAAAAGAAGTATAAATAACATACCTTCACACACTGACTACTTGTTTTATTGCTGAACAAGATTTTCTTGCAGCCTCTTTCCGTTGTTGTCCGTTTAGTTTTATTGTTATTCATAATTGCTGCAATAATCTTTTGCTCGTTGTTGTTGTTGGATATTGGCAACGCCATTTTATTGATCATTTTCGATTATTAAATGAATTATGTAATTATAGGATGCACATTGAACACTTCATTTTCCAGCAAATTGTAAGTTAAATTTAAAAATTTTAATATTTTTAATATGTATGTATGTATTGCATGTATGTGTGTATGTACGAAAAAGTTTCTTTGAAATATAGTATTTTTTATTATTTTAAACTCTGTCGTTTTTGAACACTAAATTTTTTAAAACTTTAAACTCTAACATTTTTAAAATTTTCATTAATATGTTTCTCTTCAATTTTAAGCACTTTTCCACTTGTTTGTTATTAACTTTTCATATAATTACATATCTCAAAAATATTTTCAGCTTTTGTTTTTTTACTTCTCATTAAACACTTTACGTTTCCGTACGTACGTTACTTCCAATACAATTCAAAACAATTTCGTGACGGAGAAATACACGTCCGTTTGCATTGAGCGTTCGCCGCGGAATGTTGAAGGTGAACGCAGATACGCGGCTACGAAATGTATCTGTCTATCTTGTAACGTTGTTGAGCTGTTAAAGAAGAAGCAGCTGCCGCTATCGCCGCAGCCACCGACACCAACGTCGCAGTAGCAGCAGCAGGACCAGCAGCCCCGGCCAGCCAGTTTACTGCTGCAGCCTGTTCGTGTGATCTGGCCGACAAACAAATCGCAGCAACAACAGCTACAACAATACCAATCAGTATCAGTAGGCTCAATTTTGTGATTGTGATTACTACGGTGCTGCTGCTGCTGGTGCTGCTTTGAATTAGTGCAACCTGCGCTCTCACGCTGCGTTCAACACACTCTACCACAAACGTTCATGCTCTCATTCGCTCTCACTTGCGCCTTTAACTGCGGTGCTCTTAAATAAATAGCTTGTTTGCCAGCACAATCGGTTTCTTATCAGTGGTTTCAAGTGAGCAGCTTTTGGCCTGAGCGGTGTTGGAGTTGGTAGAAAGTCGTCTGCTTGTATTCTTCTTATCGTTTAACCGCATGTGTGTGAGTGTACACTTGTTTTCGGTTCTTATTTTACGTACTCGTATGCTCTTTTGTTTACGTTCGTTTGGCGCAAAGTGCAAAGTACATTCATACATACATATGTATGAGGATGTATAAGCGATGTGGCTGTTGTATGCCTTGTCGCTGCGGGTCGGGTATGAGATATGTCTACTGCGGCAAATTTTGTTTAGAATATGGTAAACAATAACAAAACTAATAATGATCGGCGAAAGAAGTAAAGACGGCAAAAAATAATGCAAGCTAAAGTGAAAGAGTGTGTTGGGCGCATTTAGTCATCGGTGCATATGCACTTACATATGTAGTATGTATGTGCGCAGACATATGTACATACATATATCAAGTCAAATATCTCTCTTTTATTTGCTAATTTGAGAGTTTTTTTTTAATTTTTGCTGAACAGTTGAAATGATTTTGGCTGATTTACAGGTTTTTTTCAGGTTTTCGACTAAAGGACTCGGTCATGTGCTGGCCTAGATGCTTACAAAATTAAAAGAAAAAACGTTATAGTCGTAATTCCTTTGAAAATGTTCATTTGGATGTACAATCGAGAAATTTCAAAAGAATTATGTCTCAATGGCCAGTGGAAATTCTGATTCTTTAGGTAAATTTCCAAACCTTTTTCTACTCCATAATCAGTAAATAATTTTATTTCGTCTATAAAACGTTGCTCTTTGTAGCGAGCATGTCATTGACTTCAGAACTGTGCTCCCAAATACGATAGAGGCAGCTTAAGAGAACGGTGAAGCAAATTTTATATATATTTTTCTTTTCACTACTTTGTGAATTTTATTAAATATTTTCCTAATTACATTAGGATTTTTTCGAGCATACTGTAATGTTTTATTTCTCCCAAGCAGGGCCACATGCCATGGAATGGACCGCAGCCTCCTAGATATCGCAAAACCTTTGCACCCTAAAACTACTCATCATTCCGAAATACACACCGATGGATTGGATTTTCTTGCCTGGGGTGACAGTAATTCGAAAAAATATATATTTATTCATATTATAAATTAATATTTGAAAAATTCTGCGTGATCAGTGCTCAAGCCTAGAACCCTTCGCGTTCGGGATTCTACAGAAATATATGGCACTGGTCCTCTAATATATCAATTATTGCTTTTCACTATTTATCTGAGACCTGAGCGACTGTCAACTGGTGGCAGAAGTGGTTATGAAACTCCTTGCGCATCACCTGCTTCGTGGTATCTCCGCATCCATTTCTGTTTCATTAAAAATCTTAAAGAAAGTCAAAAAGGATCTCGATATAAATTGTTTCGAGATGTCAGTCTAACGGACGAGAAAGCTGAGCTTTACAGGTCTCCTGAGGCTGTAGCGATGTGACCATCAATATTAATACACACAAAACTCTTAAATAATTCTAGCAGGATCTCACAGCACTCAGCGCTTGGTCGATAAGAACGATATAAATCTGAATTATGTGGGATTCGTATAAATGTGATAGCCGTCAGAAGATGTTTAATTAAACCAAAATAAAATGTACAACCAAGATCTCCAACTTGAACATAAATAAAAAGTAATTTTAAATAATTAAAAAATTAAAAAAAGAAATTAAAAATTTCAACCACTCTATTTGACGTTAAAAGTTTCAAAGTGCAAAAATATAACCGTTAAATAAAGCTTCGATGCTATGCATTTAAGCTTTTATTTTATTGCGTCATATTTTGGGTTTATACCGAAAAATGAAGGTAAAATCTTCTCATGCCAGGACGAAAAAAAACACTACCGTGAATAAAAAAATGTTCATACATAAAAATAAAGTTTTATTAATTTATCAAGCAATAATATTTGCTACAAAAAACAAAAAAATTACCAAGCTTACGGCCGAAAGAAACATTTCGCATCAAATAATTGCGTAAAAAATAAAAACGCCGCTGCTACTGTTTACCAATGGTGTTTTCTGCTTGCCAACAACAACAATTAGTAACGAAAAATCAAATGAGCCGCTTGCTCGTAATTCAGCTGCGCTTCATTCGCGTTACTCGACATTAAAAAGGGCAACACCGCAAGACCAAAGGCGGCAACCGAAAAGCCAACGATAAAATCATATTCTTAATAAATGTTATAATCCTGCGCTTTGGCTACTTGTTAATAATCGTATTACCGTTGTTATCTGTGCCACTGATCTGCTTAATCGAATGCCGAAATTGCTTCTGGTTTTTACTGATTCAAATTTCTTTTTACTTATTTAATCGGGTTTGCTTCTGTTTTTTTATACAACCCTTTTGATTTTTGTTTATTTTGTTGTTGTTTGTTCCTATTGTTGTTCTTGCACGTTATAAGTATTTAGGTTTTAATTTCCTTGTACGTTGATTGCTTAGACATTAATTTTGGGGATATTATCGCACCAAAGGGGAAAGCGAGTTCGTCGCTTAAGTCTTTTGCTATTTGCTATTAGTGTTGGCGGCAGAAATGAGGAGAGAAATTTCGAATTAATTTTTTTTTTCTTAATTTTCATAGTAATTTTAAATTTAACATTTCGGCACTTAAATCAAAAAAGGTAAATAAGTATGGGAAAAATAAATATCAGCTAAATAAACAAATAAATAAATGAATAAATAAATATATAAAATAAATAAATTATTTAATAGATAAATAAGAAAAATAAATTTTTAAATATATAAAAAAATTAAATAATTAAAAATACAAAAATTTTTTAAATAAACAAATCAATGAATATATAAATAAATACATAATTAGGTAAATACTAACAAATAAAAAATTCATAAAAAGCTTTAAAAATAAATAAATAATTAAATAAGTAAATAAATAAATAAATAATTAAAGCTACGAATATATAATAGGTTTAATAGGCTTGAATAAGTGGAGAAATAAATAATAAAATAAATAAATAATTCAAAAGTAAATAATTAAACAAGTATATAAGTAAATAATTAATTAAATAAATATATAAATAATTAAATAATTAAATACACGAATAATAAGTAGGCAAATAATTAAAAAAAGGAAGAAATGCATAATTAAATAAACAAATTATTTAAAAGTGAATATTAAAATAAGTAAATAATTATATAATTAAATAAATAAATAAATAAATAAATGAAAAAATTATTAAATATATGAATAACTAACAGGCAAATAATTTAATAAGTATTTAAGTAAATAATTAATTAAATCAATAAATAATTAAATAAGTAAAGATATAAATTATTATACAAGAAATAAATAGTTAAATAAATAAATAATTAAATTGAAAATAAGTGATGAAGTAAGTAAATAAATAATTAACACATAAATGAATTTTTAATTAGATATTTTAAATTATTTAAATGATAATTAAATAAACAAAAAAAGGTAAGTAAAAAACTTATTAATAAATTAATAATTAAAAAAAAAAAATAAAAAACTACGAATAAATTCAGACACAGGTAATAAAAATGTTGCTTAAAAATGTACACGCATTAAAAGTTTTAAAATCAACGGCATATTCAAAGTATTTTTTTATGCCCAATTAAAAGTAAATTTCTGTATTCATTCACTGAGAAATACAATATAAATACAAATACGAATTATTGATTTTGTAGTTAAATCTTACCATAAAATATTTTATATCTTCTTTGATTTATTTAAGACTCAAAAAGGTCTGTATTTGCGTGCCTGCTTGGTCAAAGGGTTGCTTGTACACATTCAACCGCTTTTATATTTTCTATGATCATCTCTAGGTTGTGTGCCCTACTATTTGTATGTTTCATGAAAATTTTGACATACATGCATAGACCTTCATCAGCATTATCATATTATATGATTTCATGTCAATTAATGATGGATAATTAAAGTCGAAACCAATAATTTTTTCGAAGCCTTTGTGGTTTGCCGACAATTTTGCCGATTTTTTAATAAGCAAATAATCAAGCTACATACCTAGATACATGTGTACATGCATAGCCATTCATCTCAGTTGTAATACTTAGATCAACTAAGCAAATGTACAAGGTGAAATTTGGTTTTTACTAGCGTCTAAGAAACTAATTTCTGGGCAGCATTTTGAACCATCAATGGGTTATTGCCTGTTGGTCGCCGAATGCCTTT